GGAGATCTACCTATCTCCTAGAACTGGAAGGGACCCTGAAAGGTCATTGAGTCCAGCCCCCTGCCTTCACTAGCAGGACCAAGGCTCTGCCCATCCGCTTTAATGATGGTTCATTTTGGCACCATGAGTGGGTGGGCTTGGAAGATAACCTCACTTATTTTTTTCTGCATTCAAAAAGGAGTCAAGCTCCAGGCCCCTGCACCACCAAGGAACATCTGCACAATCTGTTGCGAGCGGCGCCCCATGTGGATGGAGCTTGGAAGAGAACCACTATCTTTCTTCTTCCAGTTCAAACCCTGAGCCTCAGGCCACCTAGCCCATAGCCCTTATGTCTGCTCATGCAATCTGGACCCAGCTGCTGACATGTCACCCAGCCCATGCCGCCTTGCGCTACATCCTCTTGTGCCAACAGCCTGTTGGCCAAAAGAGCTAATGCAATCGTGGGAGGTATAAATGGGAATCTCGAGTAGGAGTCGAGAGGTTATTTGACCTCTGGATTTGGCACTGGTGTGACCACTGCTGGAATCCTTTGTCCACATTTGGTGCCACAGGTCAAGCAAGATGTTGATAAACTGGAGAGGGGTCAGCGAAGAGCCACGGGGACGATTAAAGAGTTAGACAAGCTGCCTTGTAGTGACAGACTCCAAGAGCTCAACGTGTTTAGCTTAGCAAAGAGCAGGTTAAGGGGTGACTTGAGCAGTCTGAGTACCTGCCTGAGGAACAAACGTTTAATACTAGGCTCTTTGATCGAGCAGCGAAAGGTCTAACGTGATCCAACAGCCGGAAGTTGAATCTAAACAAATAAGGCACGAATGTTTAACGGGGAGAGAAATTCACCACTGGGCCCACTTCCCAAGGGACACAGTGGATTCTCCGGCCCTGGCAGCGTTCCAATCCAGACCGGCTGCTTTTCGAAAGCTCTAGGGATTACTGTGGGGCAGGCCTAGACCGCCCCCCCGCCGCCAGCTTTGGGATCTATAGAACTCCGCTCCCAATCACTCTGGGAAAGCCGCGCTTTAACCAGGGCAGTAGCGGCGGAGATTGCAAGTGCACATGTATAAATCGATCTCACTCTGCTCTGCTCCAGCCTCTGTGCCCAGAGTTCCTTGGGGCAGAGACCTCTATGGGGCTGAGGGCACTGAACCCCCCCAGGTACCCCAGATACACAGCCGGCTCTCACACCTGGCTGGAGATCCCCAGGACACAGTAACTAGCACCATTCCAAGCTACACCCGAGAGTCCCCCCCAGAACGCTCTCTCTGAGCAGGACGCTGACGTCTTTCTGCGCCCTGTTCCTCGGGCAGCGGCTCACATACTCAACGTGCCAAGCAGAGACACACTGGGTGACCAGGGCCGAGTCTGAAGCCCTGCCCCAGCAGAGATGGGGCCAGCCCCTGTCAGACTAAGGGAAGGTCTGAGCTCCTGCGCGGCATTCCCCAAGGACAGGGCAGAGCACTTGATCTCAGGAAGGGGCAGAGGGACAGCTGCACAGCTGGTCTATGGGCAGGAGGAGCAGGAAGTTGACAACACCCCCACAACCTGCACATGCCAACCCCTCCCCAGCCGGAGAAGTGAAGCATGCGGCAGCATTTGGCTCAGATGTTTTTTAGGGGGCGTCTCCTCCCAGCAGCATGACCCCCCGCAGGGTAATTATCACCCAAGTGTCAGCAGCTGCTCCCAAAGGACCAGGAGCTGGCCAGCATTAGATGCTGGGCAGATGGGCTGGTGTGAAAGCTCCCGGAGCCAGCCAGGGGAAGTGTCCCTGCTGCAGCCCAGCTCCGCCCCAGGTCAGCACTTCGGAGCCACCTGGCCTCCCAGGCCCTGTGGAGGATTGCAGCTCTCAGACCCACTCCAGCTGCTTCTCTGCCCAGGTGATACAAGGGCTGCTAAGCTAGCAGCCTCCTGGTTTCTTGGGGGGGGGGGAGCGGTGGCAGGGCACTATCTGCGAGGAACTCGCCTGCCCGCCCTGTTGTGACACAGCCCAAATCTTTGACCTGCAGGGCACAGCATGAAACTGCTGGAGAGTGGCACGGGCTGCAGCAAGTCCAGCTTTCCAAGGGAGATGTGCTCCCAGGCCCGTTCCAGGACGGGGGGAGGGGAGGGGGGAGGGTGGCACTAGCCACCAAGGGGGCAGTGTCTTGTGCCTTGTGTTTGCATTTGTAATCTCTGCACAAGGTTCGAGCAGTGTCTGAAAAACATCCCCCCAGCCAGGGTGGTTGTGGTATTGCGGTGGGTGGGGTCGGTGACTGGCCTGGCGGGCTCCCGAAAAGCAGAGCTGTACATCACGCTGCATGAGCCCCCCGGGAGCATGCAATGAGCTCCCCAACAGAGGGCACTGCTGGGACCCCTGCCGCACATTGGCCACAGGAAGGGGCTGCTGGGAGGTATTGCCAATTGGGAGGTATTGCCAATTCGGAGACGGATCGGGATATCCTGCAGGGAGATTTGGATGACCTTGTAAACTGGAGTAACAGTAATAGGATGAAATTTAATAGTGAGAAGTGTAAGGTGATGCATTTAGGGATGACTAACAAGAATTTTAGTTATAAGCTGGGGACGCATCGGTTGGAAGTAACGGAGGAGGAGAAGGACCTCGGAGTCCTGGTTGATCGCAGGATGACTATGAGTCGGCAATGTGACGTGGCCGTGAAAAAAGCTAATGCGATCTTGGGATGCATTAGGCGAGGTATTTCTAGTAGGGACAAGGAGGTGCTGCTTCCGTTATACAAGGCGCTGGTGAGACCTCACTTGGAGTACTGTGTGCAGTTCTGGTGTCCCATGTTTAAAAGGGATGAATACAAACTGGAACGGGTACAGAGAAGGGCCACTAGGATGATCCGAGGAATGGAAAACCTGTCGTATGAAAGGAGACTCGAGGAGCTGGGTTTGTTTACTCTAACCAAAAGGAGGCTGAGGGGGGATATGATCGCTCTCTTTAAGTATATCAGAGGGATAAATACCAGGGAGGGAGAGGAATTATTTCAGCTCAGTACTAATGTGGACACGAGAACAAATGGATATAAACTGGCCGTGGGGAAGTTTAGGCTTGAAATTAGACGACGGTTTCTAACCATCAGAGGGGTGAAGTTCTGGAACAGCCTTCCGAGGGAAACGGTGGGGGCGAAAGACCTCTCTGGCTTTAAGATTAAGCTTGATAAGTTTATGGAGGGGATGGTTTGATGGGATAACGTGATTTTAGTCAATAGGTCAATAACGTGCCATCGCTGGTAATTAGTAACAATGGTCAATGATGGGATATTAAAAGTTACTACAGAGAACTTTTCTCCGGAGGGTCTGGCTAGAGAATCTTGCCCGCATGCTCGGGGTTCAGCTGATCGCCATATTTGGGGTCGGGAAGGAATTTTCCTCCAGGGTAGATTGGCAGAGGCCCTGGAGGTTTTTCGCCTTCCTCCGCAGCATGGGGCAGGGGTCGCTGGCTGGAGGATTCTCTGCGACTTGAAGTCTTTAAACCACAATTTGAGGACTTCAATAACTCAGATATAGGTCAGGGGTTTGTTACAGGAGTGGGTGAGTGAGATTCTGTGGCCTGCGTTGTGCAGGAGGTCAGACTAGATGATCATAATGGTTCCTTCTGACCTTAAAGTCTATGAGTCTAAGAAGTTTCTGCTTCCAGCAACCTTCTAAATGGAGGCTCTGGCTTGGGGAGGGTTTTTAAATGGAAGTGGGGGAGGGGCGGGAACGGGGAGCTCTGGGACAGGCACCCTGAATGGGGAGCGTGGGACACTGGCATCAGCAGCACAACAGGAAGGTTTCTCGGGGAGGGAACCCACAGCTGCTATGTAAACTGAGAAGTCCAATATGCCTTGTTATTGCAGCTGCTCTAGCCAACCCTAGAGACCATCAGAGTGTCCTGGGTACCGCTTGGGCCCCACAGCGGGCTGACCGCCTGTCCACTCCAAAGCGGAGGCAGAGCGGTCACGTCTCTTTGTTAGGGGAGGCAGGGAAAGGCGAAGCACTGACAGAGGGAGCAAGAGAGCATCCTGCACTGGCCAGGCTAGACAGCCAGGAACCGAGGTGCCCAGGTGCTCGTCTCTGGCCTGCCACTGGTTCGCCTCTTGGCCTTGGGCAAGTCCGAACGGCTCTGTTCCTCAGTTTCCACCTCTGTGATGGAGCAGTACAGGCACTGACCCGCCCCCATGCTACAGAGGGGTAAGGCGCTAAGGCCAGGTATTGCTGGGTGCGATGGGGTGAACCCTGCACCTGCAGTCCGGCAGCTTCTTGTCCGCTGGCTGTTAGTGTCACCGTCCCGCTCGTCCCCATCACTGTGCCTTCCCAGAGGGATCCGCAAGTCTCCTGGCACTAGCACAGCCCCGGGTATGGCAGGGACCCCGCTGGGGCACTGCTCTGGTGCATTTACACAGCACCCCATCTACTCGGCCCCTCTGACTTTCCCTGAGCGAGAACCACGCTGGCAAATTGCTAGGAGCCCAAAGGACCATCCCAGAACAGAGCACGTCACAGGCACTTTCATCCGTTCAGTGGAGGTGCAGCTTGGGTCCCAGCCAAGCAGCATGGACCCACTGGATGCTGGGAAATGTAGTCTCCGGAGATGCCACCTCTCCACGGAAACTGTGAGCTGCAATGTCAAACCGGGTCAGGCGCCTCTCCCACAGCGTCTCTGCTCCTGCATGGCTCTCCTGACTCCCTCCCTCCAAACCAGACGGTGACAGACTCCCATACAAGTGGGACGTTCCTTCCTGTAGGCCCTGGGCTCCAGGGTTCCCCTTCTCACTCTTCACAGCATCCAAGCAAGCCCTGCCCTTGAGCTGCTGCCGCCCAGGGAGTGCAAAGCCCCACAGGACGTGCCACGAGCCCAAGACATACAGGAGCCACACTCCCACTCTGCCACAAGCCGTGCCAACGAGCCAGGCTCTCTGCTCCGGGTCAGCGCCCGCAGCCCACCGCCCGTCGCCAGCACTGTCAGCCCAGACAGAGCCCCGCTGGCAGGACTCCGAGCCGCCTCGCATTCTCCGACTCACCAGGGCGTGTTTGCGCTTCCTGCCAGGCCGCCCCGCTTTCCTCGTGGCTGTCCCTGGTTCCTGCTTCTCGTCCTTGCTCCGGTTCTCCTCCAGCTCCTCTTCCCTCTGCTAGGCGAAGAGAGAGTGCCGAGTCAGCGCAGTAGGTCACAGCAGGGGCCAGACAGCTGCTCCCTCAACCCCAGCACATTTTACATTTCGACATGGCCTGTCATCCCAAAGCGCGGCCCGGGCTACGGCCAGGGCGTGGAAAGCAGCACACAGCAACACGACCAGGCGTGTCCTGGCACAGGAGGAAGAGACTTCCACCCTTTGGATATCGGCTCAGGTTGCCCAGGTTGACAGCTCAGCTAAAAGCTGGCACCAAAGCAGCCCCGTGTCTCCTAGCGCTGCACTGGGGGCACCGTGCCTCCTTCTCAGCCACCAGCCCCACTTCCTGCCGTACCCAAGCTGAGCGGCCAGTGGGGCTGGAATCCGACTAGTTCCCAGCCCTGGGTGGGCTGGCTGCAGCCAGCGAGGGCGGAGCGGAGGACTGACGTGACAGGAAGCAGCCAGGTACCCAGGTCTGAGGTGGATGGGTTCAAAGGGAGGGTTCAGCTCTCTCTGGGGTTTGGCTTGCTGAGCCCCAGGCCCTGCTAGGGAGGAGACAGCGGGAGGCTCTCCTGGTGCCGGGAGGGGACAGCCTGCTCCGGGGGCCGGGCACCATTTAGAAAACAATACAAACCGACGAGGCCAGCCCAGGGGAGGCGTGTCTGTGCCCATGCATGCGGGCGCACAACGCACCTACACAGCCTGTTTAACACCCCCCACCCAGCTCGGCGGGGGGACCCAGGGATCTACACACAGGGACAGGGGGGTTAACGCCACACACTTGGAGACCCTCCTCCGGCTAGCACAGCTAATGACACTGCAGTGAGGGAGGGGAGAGGACCGATAGGCCAAGGAGGCCTGACCCCACCTCTCCGCACTGAGTGCTGGCACAATGATAGGTGTTCCCGAACGGGCCCCGCAGCCCGGCTCTGCAGAGCTGTAAGGGATTCCTGGTACTCAGCAGTGGGGAGCCCAGCACAGAGCCCAGGTGGCTGCTCAGAGAAACGGCCAGGAATGACCCCTTCCCTGGGGATCCTCCCCTGCCCCCTGCAATGGCAGCGGGGTGCAGCTTCGCCTCCTCCCCTCCAGGGCCTGGAGCGCTGGCGCAGGCAGCCCCGTGTCCCAGCCCCAGCGAGTTGATGAGACGCTGGCACTTGGCATGGGTGGAGGAATGTGAACATTTCCCAAGGAGAGAAACCTGCGTCACATTCCCAGAGCAGCGGCTCATGTTCCCTGGGGGAGGCCCCGGCCCCGCTGCCAATCCAGGCACACAGGGTGCAAGCCGCTCTGCCCACGGGCTGCGGCAGGGCCAGCTTCCCGAAACCACGCTGGCCCCTCAGCCTCTCTGCAGAGCCTGCCAGCCAGGGGCACAGGGGCTGGGCTGGGGGTGTGCTGCATGGGCTGCTTTACAGACCTTCTGGTCCTTCCCAGCAGGCCTGGCTGGCTCCATTGCCCACGGCCCAGCCGAGGCCAGGATCAGCCCCATCACGTAGCCCCCAGCAAGGGGCAGCGCAGGGTGGGATGAGAGTCGTTCTCTAGCTCCTCCTTGGTGGCTGTGTGCCATGGGCAGTGACAGGCCACTCAGGGACTGCAGCCAGCCATGTGCCTGAGGGTACCCCAGGAGAGGAAAACCAACCAGCTCCCAGTGGCAGGGATGCATTTCACTTGAGCCTCTAAGATCGCAGCCCCAGCCAAGGCAGGAAGAGGCCAGCAGAGGGGGGAGACGTGGAAGGAAAAGGCGGGGGGGGGCCACTGGAATAGGGAGAGGCCAGGGTTGGGGAGGGGATGCGAGCTGGCAGACAGACAGCTCCCGAGATCCAGCTGTGCCTCAACAGCTCCCAGTCTCCTGACATCTCAGGCACAAGCCCCAGCCACATTCCTGTCCCACCTGAACAATACAGGGCTGCCACCGGCTGCCTGGGTAGCTCAGAGCCCGATACGGAGAGAACCACTGCGGAGCTCCAAGAGCAGGGGTGCCAACCAGCCAGGACTGTGCTCGGCTGCAACCCCGACCTGCAGCCCCCCACCCTTCAGCCCTGGAGTCCTCCCCCGCACAGTGCAACCGATGCCCCACACACACCCTACCAGCAAGTCAAGAGCGGTTCCTCCATGCCCCAGCACCACAGGCCCTGTGTGTTCCAGCTGGGAGGGTTCCCCCTGGAGGGGACAGGGACATTGTGCCCGGCTCTGGAGTGGATGTAATTTGGGGGACTGGCTTTCAACTACCTGAAGGGGGGTTCCAAAGAGGATGCAGCTCGGCTGTTCTCAGTGGTGGCAGATGACAGAACAAGGAGCAATGGTCTCAAGTTGCAGTGGGGGAGGTCTAGGTTGGATATTAGGAAACATTATTTCACTGGGAGGGTGGTGAAGCACTGGAACACGTTACCTAGGGAGGTTGTGGAATCTCCTTCCTTGGAGGTTTTTAAGGCCTGGCTTGACAAAGCCCTGGCTGGGATGATTTAGTTGGGAATTGATCCTGCTTTGAGCAGGAGGTTGGACTAGATGACCTCCTGAGGTCCCTTCCAACCCTGATATTCTATGATTCTAAGTCTTGAGGCATGGTCACCTGCTCCCAGATGACACTGAAGAGCCACGTGAGCATTCAAGTCATATATTATAACTGTGACGCTGGCATACCAGGTGACAGGTCATGCCCAGATTCCCGTGCCTCAACTGAACACTGACAAATCTCTAGCTGGGACCAATCTGGCTCACCTGTGTGTTAGTATTGTTAAAATAGGTATTAGAATTATAAGAATGTGTTTAGTGTGTACATTTTATGGAATGCTTGTAAACGGCTGCCTGCGTTAGCCTCACTTCTGTCATCTGTATCCCATAATATAAGGTAACATTTAAGGGTTTGCATTGTAAGCCTTTGTAACTGCATAAATCACCAGACAGGAGGGAGACCTTAACTAGCATAAAGTGCTGATCTCCAACAGAAGGTGTTGCACATCCTGGCCAACAAGGGAGGCCCATCAACATCAGGCAAACTATTGTGGAACATTAAAGAGGACAAAACACTTGGTTGTTTGCTCCCCCTGCTGCAAAGATGAGCCATGTCAGTGAATTCCTCCCATCAGCTGAGTTTGCCGTTCCGAGCACAAGGGGGAAGGGAACAAAAACCCTTAGCAATGAGATACAGTTCCTTCTTGTTGCTTGGACTGTGGAGGGCAAGAATTACTAGGCATGAGCAAAGGATCCCCAGTGCTTAGCCTGGGTTACCCTAAAGGACATATACGGCTTGCTTATTATAGAAGTTTCCATTACTGTTTGAAACTTAACCTTGGAACTCATTTGTCTCTATGCATGTTTACCTGCTTTAACCTTGTAAATAACCCTCGCTTCCTTTTCCTATATAATAAATCTGTATGTAGTTTATTATAGGATTGGCTACAAGTTGTCTTTGCTGTGAGATCTAAAGTGCAACTAACCTGGGGTGAGTGACTGATCCTTTGGGACTGGGTGTAAGGGACCATCTATCACAAAGACAGGCTCACCGAGGTGGCAGGACAGATTGGAGTACCTAAAGGGACTATAGTAAGGTAAGATTGTTGTAGCACCTGAGGAGTTCACACTTGATAAATTGGTTGGTGAAATCTAAGTACAGAACTCACAACCAATGTGGGCTTTGAGCCCTGGTTCTTAACAGTCTGTCCTGAGGTTGGTACTCCCGCTCTTGAGCCACTTCGGGACAGTTTGACAATAACCACCAAGCGTACAGACTTCTGGGGGTATTGCATCTAAGCCAGGTGCCTTTCCTTGTGACAACTGTTTGATAGCAGCTGCTGTCTCGATAATACTTGGCAGTCCGGCGAATCCTTCATGTATGGGGAACTGTGGTATACCATCAATAGCAGCTTCCGAAATTGCAGATGGAGGATTGAGGAGACCGTTAAAGTGTTCAGCCCAGCGATCGCTGATAGCTTTCCTGTCTGTGTGGACCATCCCGCCCTCTGGGCTATGGATGCAAACGCTACTACGAGACATGGAACCAAAACCCATTTTGGTAAAAGCATTTAAGGTCTTTCTAGTCTGCAGCCTGCTGGTCATTTTCTGATGTGTGCTTCCACCAATCATCTTCCATGTATGCAGTTTAGATGGGATAGATTGCTGAAAGCTGTGATAAGCACCTCTCTTAGCGGTCGAAGTCATGTCAGATAACCGTGCTTTATGTGCTGCATGCAGCCAGTCAAGTACGTACATGGCCTCCGAGCCAGTAAGCCAATCTTGGATGTTTCCTGGTGCTAAAGCCTAGCATGTCACTGGCAGAACTGAGGGGTCTATTGAGATGCTGGTTCTGCTCAGCATGCAGAATGGGGCTGTCTGATGATGGAATTTTGTGGGGATTTGCAGGGAGGGGATAAGGAGGTTCCCTAGCTCATGGTTTTCTGTCACATTAGATCACAATTCCTACAGAGGACAGCTCGCTTCCTTACCAGATTAGTGGTCATGGCTCACCAATGTTAGATGTTTGGCTGCGTGCGTGTGTTTTTCCTGTGTGCTGCCCCAGCTCTGCGCAGACAGCCGGCACAGCAGACAGCAAGCGAACCGCCCAATGACCACAAGATCCGTTAAGGTACGAAGGCACCAGGCCAGGTTTATTGTCGACGAAGCACGGTAATAGCACCTGGCAGACTCTACGAGGAGACTAAGACATGTATGCCTGTGACAATGGACGCAGCTCAGTGAATGGTGGGGCTTTCCATTCCCCCCTCGGTTAGCCAAAGACACTCCTTCTGAGATACATTTTTATACCCTGATACGAACGAGTTACGTACTGCTTCTGACATAGTTAGTTACTGCCCCCTGATGTGGCTAGTTATCACCTATCACCTTGTACATGTTGGTTCGATCAAAACATCTCTATTACGTACTGTCATCCTGACCTTATCCTTTAGGAGGAGTCAGTGTGTTCCTGTTATCCTTGGGGAATGTTAATGTGTATTTCTGCAATACCAGCCCTGTTCTTCCCAGATTCTGTAAGCAGGTCCTGCCTCATATCAGGCCTCTAATACA